CAACAACAACAAAAACAACAATAGCAACAACAACAAAAACAACAATAGCAACAACAACAAAAACAACAATAGCAACAACAACAAAAACAACAATAGCAACAACAACAAAAACAACAATAGCAACAACAACAAAAACAACAATAGCAACAACAACAAAACAACAATAGCAACAACAACAAAAACAACAATAGCAACAACAACAAAAACAACAATAGCAACAACAACAAAAACAACAATAGCAACAACAACAAAAACAACAATAGCAACAACAACAAAAACAACAATAGCAACAACAACAAAAACAACAATAGCAACAACAACAAAAACAACAATAGCAACAACAACAAAAACAACAATAGCAACAACAACAAAAACAACAATAGCAACAACAACAAAAACAACAATAGCAACAACAACAAAAACAACAATAGCAACAACAACAAAAACAACAATAGCAACAACAACAAAACAACAATAGCAACAACAACAAAACAACAATAGCAACAACAACAAAAACAACAATAGCAACAACAACAAAAACAACAATAGCAACAACAACAAAAACAACAATAGCAACAACAACAAAAACAACAATAGCAACAACAACAAAAACAACAATAGCAACAACAACAAAAACAACAATAGCAACAACAACAAAAACAACAATAGCACAACAACAAAAACAATAGCAACAACAACAAAAACAACAATAGCAACAACAACAAAAACAACAATAGCAACAACAACAAAAACAACAATAGCAACAACAACAAAAACAACAATAGCAACAACAACAAAAACAACAATAGCAACAACAACAAAAACAACAATAGCAACAACAACAAAAACAACAATAGCAACAACAACAAAACAACAATTAGCAACAACACAAAAACAACAATAGAAACAACAAACAAAAACAACAATAGCAACAACAACAAAAACCAACAATAGCAACAACAGCTAAAACAACAATAGCAACAACAACAAAAACACCATAGCAACAACAACAAAAAACAACAATAGCAACAAAAACAAAAAACAACAATAAGCAAAAACAACAAAAACAACAATAGCAAACCAAATACAAAAAAACAACAATAGCAAAAACAGCTAAAACAACAATAGGCAACAACAGCTAAAACAA